ATAGATTAAAAAGAACTAGTATTCAATTTTGAGTCAAGTTGCCGTTCCCAAGATTCACGTCTTGACACAGGGAGAACAATTTGAATGAAACTGAAAGGTAAAAATAAGATCGGGAAAAAAAGTCTTCAATAATGTTTTATTCGAGATGAAGATAATATCTCCCATAATAAAAACCATGCAGTGAAATCGAATCGAAATGCACTATATTGTTTTCTTTGTAAAAAAAATTTGTACACAACTCACATCCAYCCCCAGGGGCTAGTTTTGTTCTTGGAAGATTCTTCGACAAAGTTTTCCATGGCCGACATTTTTCTCATCACCGTTAAATATCAGCCATGGACTTCCCCAGACTATCCTTGGCCCTATGCTTTTTACGCTGTATATGAACGACCTACCACAGCTGGTTCTTCACAGCAACGTGGAATCGTACGTTGGCGACAACAAGCTCTACTTGTCGTTGCACCGACGATGGATTGACCAAGCTATCTGAACTGACCTTCATCAAGGTTGCTGCCTGGYACTGTCTAAACAAATTTTTGATTAACCCTGAAAAACCAAAACTGATGCTTTTTAGAGAACAATCGTACTTGAATAATATTTCTAATTTTCGGTTGATCTTCCTAGGAAATAATCTTACACCCGTTTCATCTTGTAAAGACCTAGTAATAGTTTTTGACTCTGCTATGAGTTTTAATTGTCATTCTGAGTCCTTAACATTATCTTTACTATCTACTCGTTGCCGAGTAAATAATAGTTAGACATCTGTTTGATAAGAAAACACTTTTTCTCAAGCTAAATTCCCTTTTATTTAGCAAACTCTACTACTGTTCATCAGTGTGTTCTGGTCCCACAAAGYGCAATCTGCATAAATCATAGTTAATACAAAACTTTGCCTCGCGCATTTTAACCAACACTAAAAAGTTTGATCATATTTTGCCAGTTATAAGCAAGCTTGGTTGGCAAAAACTAAATAATTCTCTTGTTTTTCGTGATCTGGTTAAATGGTATTTAAATGCCTTAGCGCCCTTGCTCCGCCTTATTTAAGTACTTTAATTTATAAAACGTTGTAATATACACTCGCGCAAAACTAGGCACAAGGATGATTTACACTTAGTTAAATGTAGGACCTGTATTACCTTAAATGTAATAACACCCATAATTGTAATACCCACCATAAATGTAATAAAAATCAACCATAAATGTAATAACAAC